AACACAATTTTTCATGGCATCTCCCAATGGAAGTTATTCTAGATGCCAGCAAAACTTCTTTGAGTAGACAACAGTTTGTCCATGAGCCAACAGTGTGCCCTGTGTCTAAGAAGGACAATGGTACAGTGGGCTGCATTAAAAAGAGTGTGGTCAGTAGGTTGAGGGAGGTAATCCTCCCCATCTCTCCTAGAATCAAATGGGTGGGGTCAAGCTATTTTCAGTAATGTGCAATGAGAGAACAAGGGCAAAAAATGGAACACAGGAAGTTCCATACAAACAGGCAACAGAATTTCTTTACTATGAGGCTGACAGAGCACTGGAACAGGCTGCCCAGAGAAGTTGTGGACTCTGCTTCTCTGGAGTTTAAAACCCACCTGGACACTTTCCTGTGAATCCACCTGAAGGGAACCTGCTTTTAGTAGGGAGTTGGTTGGACTCTATCTCCAGAGATCCCTTCCATCCCCTATGATTCTCTGATTCTGTTGTGCCATCTCTAAAACCTACAGTTTTGGAGTATCAACAGTAAGTACCATTTTGTGGTGGCTGGATGGAAGGCTGCAGAACTGAAAAATTTTGCATGAGTTTCCTCACATTGCCTCTATGGGAGCTGTGGCACTGAGGAACTACTCTGACAAGCACCAGCATTCTTCAGGTACTAAATAAATGTCTGTGGTACTCTGCTTTGCCCAGCTTTTACAGAGAAGCCAAGATAATATCCACTATATCCAACTAATTAATACTTGCTAGAGTAATAGCCAGGACAAAATTAATTCTTTTGTACATTGTAAAGGACTTTAGAACTTTCATGTTGAATCTTTTCATTGTAAAAAAGAAAGCTCCCCTCAGACACTCACCTGAGAAGAGGTTTCCTCTGCTCTTCAAATTGCCCTGTGCAGCTGGGGTGGTTCCTGACTTTCCTCCATTTTCAGATGAGAACACACAGGGAAGAAGATAAGGGAATTGAAGAAGGTATGCTAATCCCTTTTATTTTGTTGAGGGACATAATGGCTCACTCTAGCTTTCATTCTTAGAAGCAGCACTCTTTCTCAAACTGCAAGTTTGCTGTAAAAGAACAAATGTCTTTTTGTGCCCATCTCTGTGTGAGCACCTCAGTGTACATCCTCTCTCTTCAGAGGCCTGGGTTGCTCATCCAATTACAGAGGTGCTCAGCCTTTGCTGAAGCAAAGTGACTATACTGAAAATCAATAGTAGAGATAAACACTGTAATACCATGACTCACCCTCTGCGCTTCATCTTCCAAGACCAAGCACCTTCTGCTCTGAATAAAAGCTGAGTGGAAGTTAGAAATAGATTTATTAAAAAAAACACTTTAATAAGTTATTGCCAGTGGAACTTTCTATGGATGCACAAGTGTAAGCAGGAGTTAATTTCCCTCATCACTTTAGAATAAACTTATCATCATACTTTTATCCTATGTTGACCAGCAGGAACTATAAAGGAACTATTTTTGAGATATTTGTATTGGAGTAAAATAGAAACCAAATAATTTAGTAAGTAAATCTGAGATTACTTGCTTTCTGAGCATTTCAGGTTTCTGGAAAAAAAAAAAAAAGTGTGTGTGTGGGGGGAGGGTTTGGAGCTGTTTTCCACTACAGAATTGTAAACTATTTCTTGGAGCGTTTTAAAGACTGCTGCTAACTTTTCCTTATTCAAATCTGGATAAAGAAGCTTTCTTCCCTACAAAACCACTGTAATGTACTTGGGCAAATAAAACATCAAGAAGCTAAGGCATTTAAACAGAATAATTAGTATGTAGGTAAATACTAATCCCAAAGATTGTGTTCTAGTGCAATGTAAAGTTGCATGAGATCTGCAATTTGTAGTACCAGTTTCATGTCAGTGACAAAGCTAGAATAATGCCTAACAATTAGAGTTTGTAATGCTGTCATTAGGAGGAAAGAGAAGCTTGTTTTCCCAATAATCTAAAAATAAATAATTAATTAGAAAATCCAAAACCAAAATTGAAAATTATAAAAGTTTCAGAAGTGCACTAAACTGGGGTAGGTTATGTTGATCAGGTGCTTCCAGTTTATTTTAGCACCAACTTGTTCTCAAGGCCATGAGATGCGATACATCTGGTTGGAAAAAAGAAACTCAATTTGTGAGATATCTCACATCCTCAAATTTTGAGGTATTTTTGCATTTGAACTTTCATAGCACTTCTTTTCCTAGAGATCTTGAAGGGAACACTATTCATATTCTTAGAATCTTTCTCAGTTGTCAAATGTTTAATCATTTCTATTAGCCACTATTTGTACAAGGTTAAAATCAACAGATGGGCTTGCTTACCCATTTAGAACATCTAATACATCTGTATTCACACTTTTAAAAGCCCAAAAATGTAAAGTTAAAGGAAGCATCATCCCTGTCTTAAAGTCTTAACTCTGCCCCCAGATTTAGGAGGAGTATAGTTAATGGGGATACGTATTTATGCTTCAGCCACTGTGCATCTGACATACCATCATCCCCCTGGCAACCCCTTGCCTCATTTATCTTCTTGAATGCTCAGCTAACCTTCTCTATGTTATAGGCAGCTGCTCTGATTGGCACAGATGTTAATTAAACTAGGTAGTAACAGTACACACTCTGAAAAGAAGGGCCTTGGAGCTAAAAGAGATCTTAGTCAATCTCCACTACTCCACTGCTGCACTCAGTTATGTGCATTGTGCAAGAGGAGAAGGAGAATAATGTTATCTGTGTTCTTGAGGCTTGTAGCAAGCTCTAACACACCCAGTAATAGCAGAAGAATGAATGAGAAAAGCGGTAGCCGTTGGCAACAAGGAACGTGTGGAGGGTATTGGAAAGTGGGAGACGTGGGTGAAGCACTGCTAACTTGGTGGCCACTAACCCTTGTTTAAGTTCAACTTCTGTTTTATCTCCTCTTGCTTAGTAGCTTTCTTTTTCTTCCTATCTGTACTGCATTCCTTGTTGCATGTTGTCAAGCTGGGTTAGTATTTTCAGGGTGAAATCAAGACAGAATTAAAATTGCAAAGAAATTACCTCTTGCATACTTCAATCCTATTTGCATTCTTTAAATTTAGCAATTGATATTCTGGAAGGGAATAAAGTATTTGTTTTCTAGAACTTCTAACTGTGATTTTCTTTCTTATTCAAGAAAATCAAAGCTACAGGGTGATCATAACAGTGAGAAGAAGGCATCAGGAAGGTTCCCCTGAAAATTGTACTGCCATCACGTTATAACACCTATTCACAGAATGCTGCAAAGGACAGGATGAACTCGTGGGACTTGAATCTGTCTGGATACAGTACTTTTTATCACGTACTTTTCCTGACATCAGTAAATCCCTGTCCAATGCTATGATCTGCAACAGAGCACTGGTCTTCCTGCCCCCTCTATGGGCTCACTTTGCATCCAGCTGCCTTGCAGGTACAACCTGAACCTTGAGTTTTGAAAGTTATGACAGTTGATGATTTTTAGCTACTGGATGTGAGTGGTCATAAAAAGATAAATCTTTTTATAAATTTTGGATTGGGTCCATTACTGTACTTCACACGTGCAAGAAGCAAAGAGAAAAAGGAAGAATAAATCTTGGGTATCTTCTAACACATTTGAGGTGCTGTGGGAATCTCTTGCTCAGATTGTTCAGAGCACCATTTCTTTTTCATATCTCAATAACTGCTCAACTTTTCAGAACACAGAACATCTGTGGGTTGTTTTTAACAAAAGAGGGTTTGATATGAGAGACGGAACATGTTTGATATTTTTGATTAAATTTTGATTTTGATTTTTGATGTTTGATATGTTTGATTAAATCTTTTAGATTCACACATTCCAGATATTAAAAATCAGAAATCAACCTATTGTTGATATTCAAACAGATATTCCAAGTTGGAACTGTCTGGACCAGAAAGCTCATCCAGACCTATCTGCAGTCCAAGAATATATACTGTTCTGTGAGCAATGAACAAGGATTCCCTGTACCCATAGGTAAGAAAATACCTGCTAGCAACAGCAGCAACCATTTAGTCCTCCTTTCACCCAGTTCTGTGGGAGACTGTAGAGACAAAAGTGCTGCCTTTTCCATAATGTGTAACCTGAATATTTAAGGCTGTTAAGGTCTCAGAGGATTTGCTACTAGACTCAAGTCATTACTGGTCTACTCAGCCAGCATGCTGCTTAAGAACTTTATGCTCTGTTTGTCCAAATCCTCTCTGCTGATGCAGAGTCAGATAGGGCATGCTTTCTCCTTTCTTCTCAAAATTACAAATTCAAAATTACATTTGATTTTGTAATTTCAAATACATCAGAAAATGCCTCAGTTATTGTAACGTACTATTTGCTGGAACATTCCTTTAAGCTTCCTATCTTTGTGAACAACAGGAATCATATTGTTAGATTTACATATCCTGTGCCAAATTCATATGAGCTTGCAATTTTGTTTAAGTAGAAAAATTATACTGCTATTACAATTTTTAAAACCTACTATTCAAGAGCATGCTCTAAGAGTACAAACATTGTCTAGATAGAACTGAATATGAAATTCTATTTCCAAAATTTAATTAGCAAATATCTTTCTATCCAACTAAAACACTGCTTTGCAAATACATTTCTAATCAATAACCATGCTTCTTTACTATTTCTAGAATCACGTAATTCTTTAGGTTGGAAGGAACCTTAAAGATTATTGAGCTCCAACAGCCCTACTGTGGAAATAGCTGTCGTCCCTCCCCACAAGCTGAGGCTGCCCAGGACCCCATTCCACCTGGCTTTGAGTGCCCCCAGGAATGGGGCACCACAACTCCTCTGGGCAGCTGTGCCAGGGCTTCATCAGATCACAGTGAAGTGGTGTTATCAGCAAATTTTCTGAGGGTGCACTCAATCTCACTGTTCATGTCACCTACAAAAATGTTAAATAGGACTGGTTCCTATTACCTTGTTTAGAGTTATCATCATAAAACAGAATGCAGAATAAAGAAAAAAGGTGTTTAGGAAACAGAACAAATACCAAAACCAGAACTTTATGAGCAATAAAGCTTCAGGTCCTCATGAAAAGAATTTAGATCACTTAGCTCCATTTGAATGCCATAAAGACTCAGTGTTCCCGTATTAAATTTAAATAGGTCACTCTGAAAGTAATGCCTTCTATTTATTTCTATGGAAACAACAGCAGATACAAAAAGCACAACAAAACTATTGATAGACAAAGTCTCAACTACAAAGCTCTGTTTTTTTTTAATACAGTGACTGCCATTAGCTATGCATTTTCACCAACAATGAACAAGAGCCTGCATGCTACGCTCATAACAATCTACATCAGTAGAGATGACCCACTGTTGCCGTTGCTACTGCTGAAATGCACCACTCACCACCTCACTGTGTTCACATTTACTGTTCGGTCTCCATGGACAATCACAGCATGTGTCAATGAATGTCAGTGGGTGCAGTGATTTCCACATGGAGGAAACTCATGACACTCATTCGCTTCATATGCACTTGCATGTCAGATGCCATTCCGTCAGACTGCCCTTCTGCTGCTATATGTCACACAGCAACAGCATGTAATGGGATACTGATGGGAAGGTTCAACCTCTACTGTTATACCACCAATGTCTGCCTCTGACATAGTGGGTCAACATATTAAAATAGGAGGCATTACTTTTGGAGAAGCCCTTGTATGACTGTATATCTATATACATTACTTACCTGAGCAAAGTCCAAAAACAGATCCTCAGCTCTAAGAAGTTCTTGTTAGTATCCCTGTCACATGACAGCACTTATTAGAAATATTTGCATTCCACACACTGCAGAATACTCTCTCTCTTTTTTTTTTTTTTTTCTTTTTCCAGATAACAGCTAAAAATTTTACTGCATTATTAGGAAATTTTAATCATTGTTCCCATGTTTCCTGATAGTAACAGACAATATTTTACTGATGTCAGCAACTAGCAGTTGACTTATATGGTACTACTTTTTAATCTGGTTTGCATTCTTATATAGCTTTGTTTAAATTCTCAAAGCAAAATCTTCAGCTGCATCTCAGCTGTGACATAATAGGTTTACTAACAGTGTTCAAGAGGTTAGTGCTGAAGGTAGTTAATGAAGTAAGTGTTGTCTCTAGTGCATGATCGATTTTTCATGCACTTTCTCATCTTCATTTACATTGGGAAGCCTGTCTGTGAAGCTGTCGAATAGCTCCCCTAGGCTGTCAACCCAAAGTCTCATTGTTCATGCCACAATTGCTTTTCCAACTCATCAGCAGCAGGTCCAAATTCTGATTCACAGATGAAGATGACATTCCAGGCTGAGGTGCTTGGTCTGTTTATTTCTCATCTGCTCTGAAAACTTTCAAGCATTACTTTTTTTTTCTTTATTTTCTTCCCAAAATCATCCGATGCTCTTCTTTAATATCTGCAGAGGTACATATGATGACATATTAGGACAAACATAGAAAGTCTTTGAATAATTACAAAAAGGTAGAATCAAGCCATCTTTTCCTGCATACACCCACACCACACAGAAAGGAGATGTGGCTGATACTTTGTTATATTTACATTTCAGATTTAATGTACGACCTCAGGCAAGTCACTCATCTTTTTTTTTTGTGCCTGTTTCTGCATCTGCATTACAGAAATAATAATTACATTTTCTGCTTCACATAGTTCGTTTGAGGACTGTTTAGTGTTATCAATACCATGCTTCACAAAATAGCAGAATTATTTAACAAACAGGACAGCCTAGAATGTCCTCTGAGAATTACAAATTCAGAAAAAGTTCTTATAGCAGTTCTTATTTCTGCCCTATGATCTCAGCCATCTATCTGATCGAAAAAACTCTTAAAGAGTTATTTTATCAGCAAAAGTCAGTGCTATCAAGGCCCCCGGGTTGCTCTGGCCTCTAAATGCTATTGCAAGAACATAAAGGTGAAACAGATGCAAGACTGGAGCAACTCTCATTAACTGTGCAAGAGGGAATTAACAGTTCGGAAGAAAGTCTAATGCATTCACTGGTCCCTGTGGCTGGACTGGTTGTTGCACAGCAGAGCACAGCTGATTTAAAATTACACTGCCCTCTCAAGTTACTCCTCATAGAATGATGAAATCACGTTAGTTTTGATTACCTCTTTGTTTCTTTTGGTTGAAACCATGTTTGGGGCCATGTCATGCACATGCAAGGTAAAAGATGGAAAGGATGTAGGCACGAAAGTTTCCTACATAGAAATCCAGCTGTTTATTAGTGTACTTTCTGTGTCCTAGTAGAGTCTAGAAGGCCACAAATTAACAGAAGCAATTAATAATCACACATGAGATTCTGGACTCGATCTGGGGGAAAGGAAAGACTGACAAGTGATGGGGTTAGAACTGAGCTCTGATAAGACTTTCTGGCCTCACACCCTGTGACTATTCAATTAGACATGAGATCGAGTTGTGTGCCAAAAGGCCTTTTGCTGCAACCTCTGGTGCTATGGTGCAGAGTTGCTCTGTGCAGGAGGTTGTGCCAAGCCATGGACCTTGCCCGGGAAGTCTGGGCCTCAGTTAAATGCTGGGCAGTGGGGATGCTTTGGAGCTCAGCCCTGAAATGAGGGCAAGCAAGTGACAGCTCAGTCTAACCGCAGCAGCTCTTCACTTCAGCACTGCCTTTAAGGGCATTTTGTTTTGTCATCTCAAATTAAAATAAAATTACAACCACTTGGGTAAAACTAAAGGCCTCTGTTGTTCTTCAGTGGCTTCTGCCATTCACAGATGTTTCTCTCATTGAAACCCACAGACAACCATGCTTATTCAAAAAACATTCAAACACTATAACGTTCAACAGAAAGGGGCATTTCTTGTTTAAAAAAAATCGCTAATTTTTAGATCCATTTAATCTTTAGCCTTCCTTGCAAATCTCCTTGAAAACGATCTCTTTCTAAGTGATTCATTTGCTGTAAGAGGATGCTAACACCAGGACAGTGCAAAAATAAATATCGGAAAAGAGCAAGCAAAAGGGAATGTGTCACATACTGACTACAGGGAAACAGCGCAAAACATCTAATCACAGCAGTGCCAGGAAACTTGAACCTGTCCAAAAAGATCCAGTGCTCTCAATGTTTAATTGCTGTTGATGGCTGCTGGTCAGTCATGCATGACAATGTGTGTGTCACGCTGCTTCCTGCCTATGTTCATTCCTGTCAGCCTTCACTCCAGGTGATGAGTACTACTCCTCTGACCACAGTAGAGAGAGAGAGAAAAAAAAAAAAAAAAAAGCCCTCATAGACACAAAGCAACATGTACCCAAATAACCTAAGCCACAGGAACAGAGCACCAAAAATGGACAGCAAAAGCCAGTTTATATCAACCTTTCTCCCCAGCTTCATTTATGCTTACAGAAAAAAAAGTGGCATCTGCGACCGACAGTATTCCAACTGGCAAGATTCAAGTCTCCTGTTTGCTTGATTATATGTTTGAACACATGCTTGGGGCTGTGTGGAGCAATTTGAATTACAATTGAGTAGCAATGAACATTATAATTTTTCGTGAACTGGAGCTTTAAAAACCTTCTCCTTAAGCTAATAAGAAAGAGAGAGAGTGGGAAATGTAGGAGGTATGACTTAAAAGGTCTAGAATTTGTATAACAGCTTTCCACCGTTTTCTTAAAGTGACTGTTTAATGGTTTATGTATCTGGGCCCAGATTCAGCAAAGCACTTAAGCATGCATTTAACTTTAAGTATGTGAATGATCTCATCCTTATTCAGCAAAACCCTTAAATAAATGCTTAATTTTAAGCCTGTGCTTATCTGCTTTGTTGTAGCAGGGCCTATTGCACACTTCTATATCCTGTTATATCAGTAATATAATTAGGAGGAGCACTTCTCTTTTACCTCTCCCATCACTATCCTCATGTCAAAATAAAAATCATTAACCCACAATTATTTAACTTCATTCTGCTTTGGGCAAAACTGAAGTCTGAGAGTCAATAAATGTCTTAAACATACAGAACATATCTGCTCATTCACATTCCACTTCAGATCCATCTGCCGTCAAAGTCAATGGGAGTCCTGCCACCGTCTTCAGCAGGAGCCAGGTCAGGTTCTCAGTCAATACTGAGCACAGAATCCATCACAACAATACATAAACTGAATTGTGAAAGAATGGGAGAACCAATGGGGCAGGAAGAAAATCTGCAACAAAAGCACAGGAGAAAATAAAGCGTTAGCTGAAAATTATTAAACTTAACTACAGATAGGATTCTTGGAGGAAGGAAATGAAGCACCATTTCTGGATCAACAAACTTTCAGTAATTAGGACACAGAACATATGACACTAGTTTTGATGATCTAATCATTTTGTGGTCATTCTATTGTCTGCGTACTTCATTCTTCTTCCCGATAAGTTGAGAACGAAGGTAGAATACAAAGCAGGGAAAAGAAGCTGCTTCACATGACATTTCAGGCTCATTTGATGATGTTCCTACTGCAGTCACTGCCCTTTTCCCCCTCCATATCTACACACATCTCATTGAGTGCCAGAAAAGCAGTTGAGTTTCTTTGCTATCAAGGATGAGAATAGTGTTTAAGCAGTCTTACAAAGAAACACAAAAACACTGAGAAATGTTGGATTGAGCTCTCAGACACTTTATCATTTCTGAATCAACTTTTGCCACCTTTAAGATTCAGAACAACTTGACATCCTCTCACACCACTGAGTCTATGGGTTTTAAAATTATTATTACTGCTACTACTACTGAAGAGATTATAAGGATTAGGAGAGTAATATGTGTACAAGAAAGAATAACTACTTGATTGATGTTGTTTAACATATGTGCTCATTCTTTTTTATCACAGATTGAAAAGTGGTTGCAAAATAACTCCATAAAGAAGTCCTGAGGCACATTCAAGTGTCACATTATCTATGTTCTGAAGCACAGTGGGAGGAAAATAAAAACATAAATAAGTAGTTCTGCAAGAACAGAACTAATGATGCTGTATTTCCTACTGCTTTGTGTCTCATAATTAATTGTGAACTACAGTTGAGGCTTTTCCCACGGGTGGGACACATATGGTCCATCTCTCACACTCTCAGAAATATAGATATACATACTGTGTGGATTCTTTATGGTTAATAATGCATGAACTCATTCTGTGCTTCTGTCGTTAGGCAGGGTTCTTGCTGGATGTCTCTTCTTCATCATGCTCCTCTATCTCTATCTGTTCATCCATCCTTCCACAAAGAATAAAGTTCAGTACAGTATTCCTATTCTGTCACTTCTGTCTGATATCACCAAATTAAAATCTGATTAATTTTAAATACACACATGCATATACCCAACCTTGTAAACTACTTGAACGAATAGGCCTACATCTTTATAAAACATGACTCCAAACTATAAAATATCTATAGGCATTTCCTTTTTAAAACATTTTAAAGCAAAGGGAAAGTACTATTAGTTAATATCTTGTCCTCCTGAGGCATCTATTGTTTTAAAAAATAAGTCTCCAGAACTCTTGAGAACTGCAATATAAATAAGTTAAACGTGTTCACAAAGGGCTGACAAGCTCACTGCCAGTATGGGAATATATCACGGAAGCTTAGTCTATTAAGTTCAGGTTTTGAATGCATTATAGATTTTGAAGAAAAGCTGAAACCAGTTGTATATATGGTGGCACTGAATTACTTCATCTTACATTCATTCTATCCCTTCCCATTCTTGGAGATATTAATGACTTAAAGCATTAGAAAGCATCATTCCTAGTTATTGTGATTTTTAGAAAATAGAACTGTGAAAATTGAATTACTGAAGCAATGTAAATTTAGAACCAGTTTTAAGTTCAGTTTATATAATGGCTGTGTTTAAAAAAGGATGCAGCAAATTGCTTGGAACTCAGCCTTCAATGAGATAGCCAAAAAAGCTCATGTAAAATTAATAAGCAGCCTTTTTTTTTAATTTTGAATGCAGCCAAAGCCCAAATGTGGAAATAAATACATTCTGTATACATGCAGAATTTTCATAAACCAGCCATGCTTATGCATATCCTTTGCACTTTGTAACTATTAGCCATATACTCTATTGAACATGATGTTTTCTAAGATCCGCAGTGGTTTAAGTATTAATCTGAATTTTGTGATACTACTTATCAAATTTAAAATCACAGATATGACCACAAACATCAGAAAATATACTACTCTATTCAGTGTACTGCCCTTCTTGATTTTTGTATCTTTGCAAATATTTTGCTGTTTGCTTTTTCAAAAGTATGATGAGGCAATGTGCTGAATTTATGTCAGGAAACATTGGGGGGGAAAAAAAGGGAATATCTTCATGTAATCCATAAATCTAACACAAATTGGGTGTTTGGTGTTATATATTTATAAACAGCACACCCTGCATTTTATTTATTTATTTATTTAAAGGATGAAAGCTTAATTCTCTGAAATACCAGGGGGCAAGTATAAGCTGTCCAGAGGAAAGCACAGTATGGCCAGACAAAATGATAGCTCTCTCACACTGCTCTGTCATTGCAACTAAGCCCTGACATGAAAGCCTTAAGGGTGTGGTAAAAAGGACTGCCCTCCAGTGTGCTGAAAGGAAACTTCAGCATCCTTGCTCATTCGTTTTTTTGTATAAAAACTGACAGATGTGTCAAAGGTGTGATAGCTTCGTGAATAAGTAATAAGTCCTGACAAGTTGGACCTTATCATTCCCTTCTGCCTAAGGTGAGGAAGGAGCCTGGGGTAACAGTGAGGGCAACTGAAGAGCCCTGGATTGGACTTGCGGGATGGCTCGCCTTGTTCATCTGTGCTCCTGCTGGTACAAAATGTATTTGACGACAAATCTGATCAAATTCATCCCCGGTGTAATTTCAGAGAGGTCAGTGATGTTACACCAGGGAAAGTACTGGTCCTTTCAGTTTATTTAGGGAAGTCGACAGCAGCTTTGGAATAAAAGCAGTTGACTGAGCAATAAGCTTCCTTACCCTCAGCAGAGCTGTACAGATACTTTACAAAGAGAGCTGTGATTATCAGAACAATGTACAAGTACTTTGTCAAAACCTGTGTTTCAGCATGGCTCACAGGGGCAGGAAGGTGCAGTTAGTGTGCTCAGCCACCATGACCCTTTGATGTCCTGCCCAACACTGCAGGATCCAGCTGAGAAAGAAAACAAGCCTCTCTTAAACAAAACCAATCCAGGAGTCTTCACTTTGTAAAGGGACATCAAGGTCAGATTACAGGAGGCTTATGTTTAAGTGGAAGAAATAAGGACTAATAAATTTGTGTGTGAAAAGTTCTGTGGAGACAGCAAAGCTTACAATCAAAATACAAAGATCGCCAGCACAATGAGAAATGCATGAGGTATTTTGGAAAGTGGGAATTCAATAGAAGGGGGCACCATCCAAACTGGAGCACAGAAGTATTTTCACACATCCAAAATCATCTCATATAATGTAACTACACACAAAAAAAGCTCTTCATGGAAAGCTTTCATCAGAAGGAAATAAAAAAGTATGGAAATGACAACAGATGAGTAATGTAACTTGATTAGTTCTCAAACTTGGGGAAAATATATTTTTCCACTCAAATTTGTAGAAAATCACAGAACTCTAATAAACATTTCAGATAATGGGGAAAAGAAAAAAAATCAAGTTAGCATATATACATGCACATTTTGTAGAGCATATAGGCAAAGGGTTAGAGAAAAGGATACAGCAAAAACCATCTGCTGTTCAACGGCAGGCAAGAAACATTGACTTGGAGGTGCTGGATAGAAAGAAGACAGCCTCAGATGCAAAGGAAAACTGGGCTGTGTGGACAGCAAAAAGCACAGAAGCATGAGTAAGGACTGCAGGAATGGCACAGCAGTGCAAGACATCTGTGGAAGATGTCAGGACAAGGTCAGCAGCAACAGCCAGGCAATAGAGTCCATTATTCTGAATGTAGGGCAACTGGATGGGGGGCTGTGCAGAAGAAAATAAATGTGATGAGGCACAGAGATCTGGAATACCTCCAGTGAGACTAGTTGTGCACTGATTCATGGGCTTGGGCTGGGGGTAGCAGTCAATTCTACATCACCCAGACTTGTTTGGTCTACTTGTGGTCCCCCTTTCTGCATTTTTTGAACTGCTTCAGTGTTGTCTTTCCTCGATTTTTTTTCCTAAGGCCTGAAATGCGATGCCTGCTATGAACACTGCCTTCTTTTGACATTTTCACTCTCTGATAATGCTGCAAGCTAGCCTTGAATTTTAAAGAGTGCCATGCATGCACACACTCAAGCACTCCCACTCAGAGGCTGTCATTCTCATCAAACATCTGGAAGTCTGCTTGCCAGAGTGCTGCTGCCAAATGCTACTGCATCATCCAGGCAGAATTTTGCTTCCCCTACAGGGTAAGCAAGAAGAGCTCAAGAGCAGATTTACAGCTGTTGATGTGGCAGCACAGAAGTCTCATGCAGTAGCTTAAAGCTTCTTACTTACAGTTTTAGCTCTCTGAGGAGTTTGGTTAGAGAACGGGTTGGCTGTGGACATTCAAATCCTTGTGGCCTGAAGAATCATTCCTTTTCCTTTTATTTTTAACTTTTTTACTATCCAGCACTTGATAACTCTGGCCAGACACAGATGGCTGTAATTCCTTCAGACTCTGAAGAAAGCATCAATGTTGGTACAGAAGCTATGTGAAGTACCATAAGATTTAATCTTTGTCACTCATGGGGAAAAGAAGGAGGATCAGACTTCAAGGCGTCTGACTTCCTAAATCCCATCTCCTCTCTGAAGAACTCCCTGCCCTGGAGGAAATCCTATGTACTTCAGGCAAGGCACACAAAACAGTGGTAACAAATACTACATTGTCTTGTCTCTGGCCATAAGAATAAGTGAGTCTTCTGTCCTGGTTCCCTTGCCCTTCTCTCCACACAAAAAATTCACTAGGGAAATGGTGGGTGGTACGGAGGGGGCACTAAGGCTCTGAAGGAAAACAATGAAGAAAGACAAGTGGAGGAGAGAGAGAAATGAACTTCATTCAGTCCAGAAGATGTTTCTATCCAGCTCCTGAGAGAGAGTAGAAAAGCAGAGGAAGAGCAGTGGGAAATGAAAAGCACCACGGCAAGATAACAAGCCACCTAGAGAGGCAGAGAAGAGCAGCAAGCCTTTTCTGAGCTCCCGACAATGCTAGGATAGTATCCAGGAATCCTGGTATAAAACCAAGATACAGCGGTTACCTTCCTAGCCTAAACAGCTTAACAGAAAATTTACATCCTAGTTAAGATGTTCAGCATGTTAGTGTGAAAATGTGTATCAGAAATACCTGATTTCTAAAGGATTTTCCCCCAAAAGAGCAAAGCTTGCACACCAGGAGACAGGGAGACATTTGACGGCACAGCACGAAGCAGGGAGCTGACTATTCTGCCTCTATTAGGACAGCTGGAAGTTAAAGTAAGTGGGCTATTGAGAACAATGGGCTGGAGCCAATGGAAAGGCAACTTCCCAACATTTCAATTTAAAGGTCTCTCAGCTATGGAAAATTATTGCCATGGGGCTTTTTTTCAGGTCAGGGCAATAGGGAAAGTGCATTTTGAAAGCACGACAGTCCATTTAGCAAGCATCCCTCAGCCATGGGCACATATTTCTTCAGCAAATGGTTGACTGTGTGCGCATGCACTCTTCATCCAACTTGTAGAAAAACACTACCAAAAGGGGAGGAGTTTTCCAGTGATGTTTGTGTGGAAAAGTTCCACAGTCCTCTTCTGATAGTAGAAAAGGTTCAGAAAAAGGAGGTTGTATCATCAAGTGCTACCTCATTTTATGGCTAGTAGGTCAGCTTTTCTGAGGATGCTATAGAGAAACATAGTGCCTTTCATCCTGATGATGGAAACACTGAAACAGTACACAAAAAGTATTATCATAATTGCTGAAGAGCTAGAATAAAATAAAGGCATTTAGACAATCTTTCTCCAAATCTTTATGAACTGCTTTAGTCTTCAATTTTTGCTTTTGCGTTAAGAAAAACCATTAACAAAACCAGGCACCTAAATAATCATAAAGAAGTAAAAAAAACCCCACAGAGTAAGTCAGTGTCTTGTTCTGACTTAGTCAGTCCCAATGTCTGCTTTAGGCAACAATACTTAAGCAGAAAGAGGCTGAAAGCTGCAATTTTTCTAAGGCCTGAGAACAAAATGCAACCCTGACTACAAATGCATTTGAACGGAGGTATAATTCCCACTGACTTAGAGAAAAGACACCCCTGTACTTGTGGCATGCTTAATGCATTTGAAAGAGCCAAAAGCAAAACTTGAGAAAATAGGTAATGAAAAATACAGTTACACTTTGCTTTTTTTCATCTTTATCTACTGCTAAGTTGTGCCCTCATGAAAAGGATGAGGAGGGAGCGCTGAGACATAGTGAGCTAATAGTTAATTGGCTGATTGGGCACACATTCTTACCTCCACTGCCCTGCATCATCCTGCCTTTTACATCTTGCTTTGTAATACCACACATCCTACCAAGTCATGTCCTTCTTAGAATTTCACATGTTACTTTGCGTCTAGAGATTTGGGATACTTGGCTCAGGTGTCAAAATACTATCTCCTTTTAAGCTGTAGAATGAATCTCTTTGGATGCTTGATTACCCAAGAGCAGAGAGACTTATAAGGGAATTAGTTGCCCTCAGCAGATGATCGGCTTATTCTACAAGTCTTATAATTTTATCTTGCTCAGGAAGAATAGGATTTAGGGGAAGTCTGAGTCATTCTAATAGAACACATAATTGTGCCCGTTTTATAATTGTGAGAGTAGGCTTGTTATAGTCATTTGCTATCTCAGCTGGCAGGAACACTATTTAAAAAGGAGTTTGAAGACTACCTGAGGCAGCTTAGGCTTTTGAGCACAAAAGAACAGCAGTTTCGAGGCACTGAAGAATTAATGGTTTATTTCCCAGTCTTCTTCCCACATATCAAATGCGCCCCATTGTTGTGTGTGAATGTAGCATACATGAAGTACAGCTCTCCCAGGAAGGGAAGCAATAAGGATGTATCAGTAGACTGTTAACAAAAGACAGCACCCAGGAATGTAAAAGAAACTTTGGTCAAGCATAATAAATCAAATCTGCAAATAAACAAAACAAAAATGTTATTTATGTCCCTAAATAAGTATTTGCAGAACAAATAAATTAGGGTTGGACAGGCTTCATTCTCAAAATGAAATGGATGTTCAGAACTCACCTTTTAGATGTTCCTTATGGTCAGATCCAGCAGATGCTGAGACATGAATTATAGATTAGAAAGATCTTTAATTGTTTGCATTACAACCTCTTCTGCTGTTTCTCTGTTACCTGGAGAACATAAAAGTTTCTTTCACTCCTTACGTAAGAGATTTCACATTACGTACAGACAACAGTGATGCAGACATATTGCATCCTCTATGGGTGGCTATCTACTACGTTTTCTTTAGAGATACTTTCACATAACCATAAAACAACAGATGTGCTAAAATTTAACTTGTGTCAGGGTCGGGGTGCACATACACAACTTGCAGGTTAGTCTTCTGTTCCTTTTCTTTTTAACACTTTTTTTCCCTCTAACAACATTTTAAGAGGACTCCACCATTTGTTATCTGTACTTCTTTCCAGTCTAGTCAGCCTCATTATTTTTATGCGCCTGAATGCTAAGGTGGTGACAGCTGATTAGGTTTGTATTACACTTGCTTTTCTTCTGTTGCACATCCTTCAACAAACTTTGACAGAAGTGAGACATCAAGAAAAAGAAAATTAAAATAGTAACAAAAAGGAGGAAGCAATTGAATGCAACAGGATTTTACTTTTAATCAGCTTTGTTCTAATTTCAGCTCACCCAACAGTTTTTGTTATGCAAAGGAACTGTCCTTCCTACTGATTTAATGAAAATGGTCATTTTGCTGAGGGTGTGTGTATGTATCATCCATTCAAGATTTGAATATGCCTATCTGAGTTTTCTGAGCTCAGTATGCCCTCTGGTTTGTTTCCCAATGTGTTTAAAATTAGAGCAACTACATTTAGTTGTTTTGCCAACTCAAATATCATTCTTTTTTTTCTCATAGTCAAATCATATGTTTCAGCTTTAAGTTACTTCTCTTAAGGTGCTTTTCTGGACATATTTCTTTTTCACTCTCTACTCCCTGTACCCACACCTGTTCATCCAATACATCATATAAACCATTTGAACTTCCCCACTTGTCAGTCACAATGCTATCAGAGGCAGTGATCTGTAGGCTTGGAGCAGCAGAGACAATACACGCCTGGGTCACTAGTAATTAAGCAATGTCAGTGGTTGAGAGGAGAAAATTCAGTTCAAGCCAAACTGAAGCATTTAGATATTTTACTGCTGCATCCTTTTGGTCCTCTCTCAGCTTATAAATATTAATTTAAAGACTACCAACAAGGACAGTAAACGGATTTAGGCATAAAACTTCCTGTCAGGAGTGATTTGTGCCCAATAAAAGGAGAGCTGGATAGAGAAAGCTGCTTCACTAAGTTTATGATAGACAGTGAAAGACTGCCATCAAAATAAAAAGGCTTTCACTATGTAGACTGCTATATGCTGGGTGGGGGGGGTGTCTTTGTTCCTAACAAGCATCATAGTGGTACTGTATTGTTTTCTTCCATAAGCACATTTTACCCTACTGGAGTAGAACCAGCACTGGTTAGTGGGCTTTGCACAATCACCATCACAGGAAGGGAGCTCTTACATCGCTGACCTCTTGTACTGAACTTTGCGATGGAGAAAGTTGACAGAAGTTCATCCTTTTTTTTTTTTTTTTTTTTTTTTTTTTACTTCATTCCCAAATTGAAAATAGAAAATAATTCAGTAGGCTCTATATGGTCTGCAAGAGCGTGCCTTCAAAATGTGAATGCAATGATAACTTTCTCCCGCTCTCCTTTTGTGAACATGTGGGATACCTTTGTTCTAACTTGTAATTATTTCATTCTTGGTTAGAAAATAGCATAAATTTTGTTTCCCTTCTTCATTCCGGTTTCTTTAACTTTTAAATCATTTTGTTGCTTGATAGTCATGAGTATCTTAATAACAGATAAATATAAGCAAAACATAAAATTTTACATTAATTCAACTGAATATGTTATCCATACTTAATTGAGCCCAGATATAGCAGCTGATGCTTTCCGTAAGCCAGAATTGGTGTCTGCAGTACATGCCCTGTCTCCATAGCCAGATCCACCAGTGGACATACACCTCACCTCTGACAGCCATACTACATTTATTAATCCCCCACGCTGCATTCACTGCTAACACTGCATTGTTAGTTTTTACACGGGGCAGCAGACCTATCCTTCTAGCTTGCCTTGCTTGTCTCAGGTTTGCAGTTTTCATGTTTTAGGAAGGTCAATTAAAACATTAACTTCTCCGTGAATTCTTAGATCTCTAGTGGGCTGAATAAGTCATGATGATTACTTCCTTGCCTTGAGACTGAGGGCAGAAGTGGTGCACAAAATGGATGGCACCGTTCTGAGGAAAAAGACTTTCAGTGTAGGGTTTTGCTCCTTCAGTATGTGATATTTCCTGCTGGGCAGTTGATGGCCGTGGCTTGATCCATAAAGGATCACTGGGGAGAAAGTGCTGCTTGTGAAAGCCTTACATCTGGAGGACACTGGGAGGAAAGAAAAGGAAACACACAAGTGGGGAAATACCCTCCTGAAGTAATGCTGAAAGACAGACCTATGCTTTGCCAGTGGAATTAACGTGAAACAGGGGCCCTTAGAGATGATCATTCTGAAGAGAAATGAAAAATACATAAAACTTTGTTTAATTTATGGAATTTATAGGCTGCTGACCAGTAAGTATAAAGTTCTGTTCCCTTGGTCCTCACTATCACTCATGTATTACTTGTCAGTAAATGTGGTGCACTCAGAACATAACAGCTACGGTAATATTTCTGTTCCCACTGCAGCTTTACTACACCCATGAAACTCTGTAATCTTTAAATTCCCTCACTGTTAACATCTGCTGAAACATTATTGGTCCCAGCATAGCCAAGCTGCTCTGAAATTACATTTAGTAGAGTAGTTAATGCTAACAGTATAATTCTAGAAGCAACCATGTTTTAAAAAGGCTTTAGGACTGGCACAGTTGCTACTTTTGCTTTTACTCCCATCCCATTTCCCTGCCTTTTATCTACCCCCCTTTCCCCCCATCATCTCACTTACCAGCCAGAATTTATGTTTAAACACCAATTCATTTTCTTTCTAGAAGAAAATATCATCATTTTGTTTGTTGGTCTGCATCGCCAAAACAAATTTCTCAAAACAACGTATGTGTTTTTTTTTGGCCTAAAAATAATACAATTAGAACATGATATTTTAAGAATCCAAGAGGTTGAAGTTGGAAATTAATCAAACTGCAATAAAAATAATAGCTTCCATCACCCATTTAGGATACTTTCCATGGTTTAAATTCAAATGACCTTATGTATAAGCAAAAGGAACAGTCTGCTGCTTGTGGCAATTATCAGTGAAGATACCTCAATATATCCATTTGCAGCACATAAGGAGTTCATGTGTTCAGTTTTGCTTCTCTATGAAAATGTTGGACAGAGCACATTTAACTTAACCACTGATTGCTCTTGTTATACAAATACTATTCCAAAAGCTAAAAACACAGAAAACATCTTCAATTCTTCTACAGATTTTTTCAGTGCTAGCTAATGTAAAACATATAATATATGTATGGCTGTGTAATGCTATATGAAGATATATGCACAGATATTCTAGCAAAATAACAAAATTACTTAGGGAAATAAAGAGGAATGTATAAGCATTTTTCAAAATAAACTAAGATGAAAACTTCCACTTTCTCTCCATTGAAAGAAAAAGCCACATTTAGCAGGAATTCTGTCAGCTTGCTAACTTGTGGCTTTCTCTCAAAAACATAATGCAGAATACAATCTTCTGGAATGGAAAAATTACTTCTTATTACATATTTATGTCACTATGAGTGTGACAGTATTTTATTTAGAGTACCAACATAAATCTAAAAACTATAGTAATTTCAAAAAAATTATCAAGACTTTCTGTTCAAAAAATAATGAACCGCGTAAGTTTGGAACTTCAAAGAATAATCAGTGTATTACTTAGCCTTGCACAAGGGTAAGCAGACTGCTAAGTATCTTAAATTTAACTGGTTCCTGACTCATGAGCAGCAGTAAATGACATCTGTGCCAGATGGCAGTCAGCATTTCTATGTCTATACACTGATTTCCTCTTCTCATATCCCATCTAGCCTATGTTATTATTTGCTGTTTAAGTGATGGTGTCCATAATGGCACCCTGTACTGTAGGCTAAGGCCAGAAAAGGAATTTCCTAGGAATGCCTTGCAGGTTTTTAATACTGTTCAGTAACAAAATTTGTTCCACTGCTCAAGACAATTCATTAAATATTTTCCAATCAGATTTTATCCTCCCACAAATCTCTTCCATAAACACATTTTCAACAGAGATTATTTTGTTATTGTCTCTGTTTAAAATGTGCTAATATTTCCTTTCAGCAAATGAGTAAGCTCATAAATTCTTTGTAAGTACTGAAACAATATTAGACAGTATGATGCTACTGTGATTGAGTCACCATCCCTGGAGGTGTTTGAGAAACATAGATGTTTTACTGAGGGACACAGTTTAGTGGGGAAATACTGGTGGTAGGTGGATGGTTGGGCTGGATGATCTTGGAGTTGTTTTCCAATCTTAATGATTCTACAATGCTATTTGAAGTAACATTAAATAATTTCTTTTGAAACTTTGCAATGCAATGCAGGATGATCTTGTTTGAGGTATGGATAGCTTACTTTTCATTCTGTCACACTCATATCTGATTTCTGTACAAAAGGGTAAAAAAGAAGGTGAGAAGATTGAGAATTGCAGTAGAGGGAACCGAGAACAGTAAAACTCACCTGACACATCAGCAAAGCCAGTGATTGCTGAAAGTTTAACATCAGCTACTATTACTACTTGCCAGAAGAGAGTCCAAATTGTATCAGTGACATAGTTCTCCCCAGAAGAGGGAATTACAAAGCCTGTGAAAGCAAAAGTTGAAAGCTATTTTATGCACCATTATCATAACACACTAAAATATAAAAATCAAAGCACATGATGAGGCACTGCTTTACAAACTTCTCAACGTAACTTTTTTGAATCAGAACTGGAATGCTGCCCCTCCCCAGACTTTTCAACTTGTTATAGAAGCTGACACAAAACTGGTTGGAAAGATTGTTCCAGTGCAACCATTTAGAAATCTGGAAATTTCCATCTCTTCCTGGAAATGTATAAAAACCACAGAATTTTTTGAAAAATACTAACACTCACTAATTAATCCTGACGTATTTTTAAAACAGAACATGAGACCAAGCCATTTTAGCTGAAAATTTGCTTTAGTTAAAACTAGAGCTCACATGATGATTATTGATCTTTAGTCAATGCCAGCTGTGGGTAGGAATCTGAATTCTGCTATTCATAAACTGCTTTCATATGCAAAGTATAGTATTGATCAATACTATGTCTTCTTTTGTCAAAAATACATTATCGAAATATTTGCTTCACTCTCGAAAGTGAAGTGTAACAAGTTCTGGAACCTTCTCAGAGGAGTCATGCATCTTGCTGGTAAAAAACTGATTTTCCTGACAGCATTTTGTCAATTGTTGATGAATGTCATACCTTCATCACTTGTCATGACAGTAAAAACAGTACACAGTTGTACAGAGCACTCTGGATCTTCTTGCTTTTATTTATTTTTTCCTACTAGCTACACAACTATTTGTTAAATCTCTTAGCTATTTTAATGATCAATGCACACATAATATTCTCATTTATTTTATGCACAGCTGCCAATTTCTTAAGAGCCTACAGTCCCAGGAGCAGCAGACTCCTAAGATCCAATGAGCCTTTCAGCCTTTGACCATTTTCCTCCTTTAAGTAATGCATGAGGCAAAAATAAAAACATATGTAAGTGCCAAAAAAAAAAAAAAAAAACCACCAAGAAAAGAGATAAAAATACAAGTTAATGATTATATTATGAAACAAATGCAAAGTAAGAAACAAAAAGATAAAAATTTTGGGCAGGGCATGCAGTAATGGAGTCATACTTCTCCAACTCCACCCCAAACTTGGAGCCTCTTCCCTAACCGTCCCCTTTTTTGTCTCATTCATCTCTGTTTTTGATTCCTTCTCATAGTCCCATTTTCCGCACATAATCAGTTCCAGCATTACATCTCATTTCTTTCTTCACAACCCGGAAAAGCCCTGAAGCAAATGCATTGTAAATTCAGAGCTGGATCTTTGCTTACCTATTAGATCTGGATTTCCCTCTCCACATTATCCCTTTCTGGATCATATTTTTGGAGTGTATGACCTTTTACCTATGCTGTAGAGGAAGATGAAGTGTTTAACGATGAATTAGATTTAATTCTGGCAGCTACAGGCTTAAACTCTATATCCCACAGTTCCTAGTTGTACGTGCTTAACTAGTACTGACTCTAATTCCTGCTCCGAGCAAACACTGTCTTCAAATAGTTTTAAATTAATACAAGTTCTTTGCAGATCATCTGTATATAGAATTCCCTGTGAAAATATACAACATGAGAAGTTTCTGCACATGTGTAATTTTGAGGGATTTCCATATGACTGGAAAATGTAATTACTACAAACTCAACCTGAAGGTGACAGCTACCAATGCTGCCATATTCACTGAGCAGCACATATGCACTGACTCCAATGGCCTTTTCCTTTTATTTGCTGACAGAAGTTTTGCACTACATCCAGTTACATCTCCTTGCTCTGCTTATGAATGAAAACAAGTACCACCCTTCTTCTTTCTTTCAAAAAAGCTTGTTTAAGAACTCCTCACACTTGAAATTGGCATGGGGAAGGACAACACAGAAGAGAAGCCCTCAGATCTCACCACTTGCGATAAAGTTGAGGATCATCGAACTAAGGCTCTTGCTCAGATCTTCCAGCTCCAAGATTGACAAACAACACAGCTCTCAGAAGAGCTTCCCAGATCCTTGCAATTTCCCACCAATGATTCAGCCACATATCATTCCACATTCTGCCTGTGCCCTGGTGAACATGGAGGATCCATGGTCGATGAGCATATTATAGACTGTGATGATGCTCTGGTTAGACCCAACCTTATTCTGAAGCTCCTGCTCAAGCACTGCTGATTGAAAGCACAGTATTTACAAATTACAGTGCACTGTACTTATATATGTTAGAGGAGGAAGAGTATGTAAAATAATGGTGTAATGCTATTATTATGATAATGATGATGAATACACGGCTCTAAGCTACACTAGTCCAAATGTGGAGTTTCACAGCAACTTTTTCTGTCAAAAAGCTAATTTAGAAAGAGGAAAAGAATTTTCTTAAATAGCTTTTTTTGAAAGAAACATGGAAAAAAAAAAAAAGCTCTGATACATAATTACAATCTTTTTTGAGCAATGTGTTGCAATGCATCATTTCAACATGACTGCTGGCTGTCACACATTAAATGAGATGGCCAGCAGTAATAAACACATACATAAAAGCAAAATCTAAAAGCAATGTTAAAATTGACCTGAAATAATATTTTGTTTTGGGTCAGATGGTGAATTTTTTGAAGTGTGGCCTATGGCCTTCTTTCAGGGCACTATCATTAAAGAAATTTTCTTCAGCTGGTTCAAGCACTTCCAAGCTCTTTATGCTGCTCCCAACTTTTAAATGAAGTGGAGGCTGACATGGGGGGAAGTGATTTGCTCCACAGCCTGCACTTTGTGCTCATGAGGGAATTATTATGAAAACAAGGACAGTAGTTCACTGGATTATAATAAAGATAACATTATTTGTATTACTGGAGTACAGAAATCATAAAATAAGAATAATAATGGATAGTTGATTATTTTAGAATGAATTCAGCCAAGGTTGAGATGTGTAACTGAATGTGAAACTGCGATCCGTAACAGCACGTTACTGAAGGTGTGAGCAGCTTGTCCACCTGTGGTATAACCCCTTTTCCCTTTCCTAGTTTTAGCCTTCTACAGCAAAACTTATTTGTCAAACTGCTTGGGTTTCCAGTTTTGTTTTTTTCTCCACAGAAATCCAAAGCTGTTCAAGAGTTACTCACCTAGAAACCTAGAAATGTCTATTGAAATTAGCAACTAAGGTAAGTAGTCTGGGGGTGCAATTTACATTTATGGCACTTTAAGACTCTTTTACATTTCCTGAGCAGTGGGAAGATAGGTCAGCAAAAACGTGAATCAGGCTTTAGGACTATGCTATTTATAAAACAATATAAAATCAAAATCAAATGTATTAAAATGGTAGAAAAAAAGGGTATTTATATCCATGTCCAGGTGCTTTCTTAATCTTAGGTCACAATAACCCTTTCTTTTCTGAGTAGAGGCTTTGCAATATAGTAAAAATTGTATTTTGGAAAAGAATGTTTTATAAAAAAGCTGAATTAAAAATTGCAGAGCCGTACTGTAATAGCATTAAGACACTCCTGGGCATGTTTTAATGGTCCATTAATGCATGCCTCAGGTGGCTGAATGCATGAGGCTGCACATCTACGACATGTGTTAATGAACCTCTGAAACATGCCCCGTCATGTGTTAATGGTGCACTACCTGGAAAGCCTCAGAAATACCTTTCAAAAACACAGAATGTTTTAGATCTTTGGAAAATACTATGATTAATTGCCCAAATTGCCTGTTGGTCTGCGTCTACTGTATCGTTGAGATATGTAATAAATAACAACACATATCAAGACAATAAACTCTATAACATGTGCAGAAAATGATCTGCTGTTAAATATTAAAACACACCCTGAACCACATTAGGCTTCTCATATATACTCAGAATGATGAATTCCTGCCTTAAAGAGCTTATAGTTAAATACGTTACAGATAAAGAAAATTATAAATGCAGAAGTTCACTAAGAGATGCTTATGCACTTTTACTGTACTGCAATCCTCCTCTGTTTCTATCTTTCATCCGAACGTTCCCTTATTTGATCAACTGTAAGACTTTTCTGTCTCAATAAGAATTTTAAAATATGTGATGTCATAAGTCTTGATTACCTTGAGTAGAATGCTATACATCCTCATTAGAGAGAACTTCAGGTATTTTTAACTCAGAAGGGCCTTTTAAGAAGTCTTATGCATGGTAAAACCTCTTGAGAAAAGTACTTAAGGATCTACTAAAATGCATTCTCACTCAGCAAAGCATTAAAGATTCTCCATGAACTTAAATTCCATTCAACTTCATATCCAAAGATAAACTCACATGTAAGACTTTATCTGGAAGGAGATGATGCACTGTTGATGCAGAACTAGAGCAGTCTGTGATGCTGCCTTTTATATGACACCATATGAGACCATACTTTATAGTGCTGAAACAATTTTGTCACAATTTAAGAAGGAAGATATTTTTAAAATACAGTTTACTTACCGTAACAGAAGTAAGAGGTAGGAGTATCTGACATGCTTAAAAGTTGTTCCTTGTTTTCACCGCTAATAAAATTGAAGTGATAGTGAGCAATTACTGTAAAGAGTTATTTTCCTCCTCTCCTGCTTTTTCTGTAGTATTTCTTTTATTTCACTGCAAAGCCTCTTAAATAAAAGGTGTTAAACAACTAGGTTGAATTCAATACTTAATGAAAATAAATAAAATGTGCCTTGCAGAAGGTAGAGTTAACCAATTACTACTAGGCAAGCTTCTGTTTTAGTCCTATATCACCAGGGTAGACAATTCTAACATTACAGCCAATAGTAACCAAGTGGAGGTCTTTGCATATCCTCTGGAGTTGCCCTCAGGCACTGTAAGCTTAGCTGAAGATACTTGAAAAGTTTAAACACTAAAGGAAATTAAATAAATCAAAATTGGGTAACTCTAGGAAGTTCTGCTTTAGTCAAACCAAATTCATAAGAGATCCACGGCAAATCTGAAATTCTGTGATACATAGAATGTTGGACACAATAATCAAACTGCCTTCTGGCAGCTTCCTGATTAATAAGTACTTTTTTTTTTTTGCTTTCTTCCAATTCAGGAAAGACATGCACTGTGTTGCTTTGCTCCTGACAGTGTTCATACTATCAGACAGTTGTCCATGCACCTTGTGAGAGGTAATAAGATCAATAGGGTGAGAACGAATGGCTTTAAGTTGCACTAGGGGAGGTCCAGGTTAGATATTAGGAGGAAAATTCTTAGAAAGAGTGGTGAGGCACTGGCACAGGCTGCCCAGGGAGGTGGTGGTGGAGTCATCAACCCTGAAGGTGTTTCAAGAACTGTGGAGATGTGGCACTGAGGGATATGATTAGTGGGCATGGTGGGGATGGGTTGGTGGTTGGATGGACTAGATGATCTTAGTGGTCTTTTCCAACCAATGATTCTATCTTCTATAAGATAAGTTTCTCTTTTATTAGACACTTTTACTCATTTGTTTTCTTCTGAAAAATATCACCTTTTTTGTATTGGGGTTCTATTACTTGCTAATAGAAGTTTTGCTTTCCATTATTTGATCTCTGTCTGCATTTTTTCTCTTTGAAAGCACTTCTGTTTCTGAAACCAGCATTGGCCCTTTATCAAAAATAGCAGATGTCAGGGTGTTGCAATTTGGTTACCCATCAAAATAAAAGAGCAGTGGTGTTAAGCCTGGTGATACCATAAGTTTTCTTGCTATAAATAGGATGCAAATAATAAGGAAATGCTACCTATGAATTAAATTAATTCAATAACAATTTAAGAAAAAAAAGCACAGTTGGAAATCTTGCTTTGTAGCTGTGAAACAGTGATACAGAATTGCAATGCATATACCTTCTAAAGAGCATCAGTAAAAAAATTCAAATGAACAGAACTAATTATAGAGACATCCTAACACTAACAGGAAGAAATACAGACAGAGAAAATTGAAGTTGCTGAGAAAAACTTCCTGACATTGAAATGCACAAGGCTTTCAGACTGCCTCTCAAGGGAGCAGCAAGGCCTTAGAAACACTAGAAATGTTTAACACTAGACTAGAGGAATCACTGGAAAAATATACTATAGGGAACAAGTTGTTATTAGCAGAAAGATGGACTGAATGCTGTAAAAGGGATTTTCTATTTCTAATGTTTACTTTTATGATAGTCATTTATGTTTTTCCTTCATTACAGGTAAAGAAAAATCTATAAAAGTTATTGGCTCTGGCAAAGCATCTTTAATTTATATGGGGCAGTGCTTTTGGTGCACTCTAGCAAGCTTTAGCTCTACTTGCATTTTTCCACGTATATTGGAAGGTTTATTTATTTATTTATTTTTATATTTTCCATTGCACCAAGTAAAACCTTCATAGCACTGAATGAATGTTCCTCTCTCTTCTCCACAGCTTTCTCAGTATGTATGCAGAACACCCAGGAAAAACCCATGCAAAATCCCCAGGTTGGGTCTAGCTGTGGGGAGGAAGAAATTAACATCAGAAGGCTAAAGGAAGAAAGAAAGCAGCAGAGGCAAAAACAAAGCTTCTAGATAATGAGAAAGGAAGCAGAAAGATCTTTAGGGATGGGAAAGTGGGAATTGAACACGACTAGAACAGGAGATGCCTCATAGCTACTTAGGAAACACTGTGAGCCAACTGGTCTCAGAGGCATTGTGTGACATCCATCTCCACCTTAGTGATACCAGTTTTCAGGACAACATTTGCCGTATTCTAAGTGAAGAACTGCATTCAGGATGCAAACTTCATTGTTGTAAGTACAGGGAAAAACAAAGATGGAATAAGTAGAATAAAACAATACCTGGTGATGGATCTGTATTGCACTGGTATGGTACAGGCTGCTCAAGGTTGAGATGGTACAGGCTGCTCAAGGTTGAAATGATCAGTGTTATCATAGAATCATAAAGGTTGGAAAACACCATTAAGGTCAGCAAGTCCAACCACCAACCAAATGAAAACACACATCTTTCTATTTTTGTACGCAGAAAAATAAGTCCATTTTTAGTACCCAAACTCTTCTCCCAAGCAGCCTTACAGCAGAAAATTGAAGCATCAACCTCATTGTGATGAGACCAAACATGAGAAAGGTTATTTCCCCCTGCAACCACTTGCCACTCCTGCAGCGCAACAGCAGCTTGGGCTAGGCTTCCCAGAGGGATGCACTGAGGATACAGCCATGCTGTGCCATCCCCCTAGGGACACCATGATAACGCAGCCAAAAGGCATCTCCAGTACTGTGGAGTGATGAGAGATGAGAGTGGTTTCCAAAGACATGGGCCTCTTGTTTTTGCCGAGCAGATTGAGTCTCCTTGCCTGGCTGCTGAACAAAGGCTATGATTAATGGAAAGATGTCAGGATGATAATCCTTACTTTCACAAAACACTGGACAGGGTGTTTTTCTTGGCAAATTGAGGGGTAGCGGGAAGAGAATAAGAAAGGAAAAAGGAAGCAAGAGAAAGGGAGAGGTTTTGAAGAGAGAAAGAAACGTTATATGCATAATATATATATACACACACACATACGTACATATATATATTTAAAAAAAATACAACCATCCCTCTGCCCATCCTCTTTAATGTTTCTGTGGTGGAGTAATAAGATACCTTCAGCGTTATAAATAGCGGCACAGATGTTGACAGAAAAATGCTCCCTTAATTACCATACAAACTGCTTTACTTGAGTGAACCGTTTAAAGCGGCCTCCAAAGGAAGTTCACTCAAGCAATTCCACAGATTACAGCTAATGAACAATATTTCCTCGCTCCTATTTAGTGCTCATTAAAATGTAAAAGCCTTTCATTTTCAACAGGCATACAATAAATAATTCCTTTCTCCCTCTCTCTGCTGCCTCTGAGCAGTCAGGATGGAAGTGGGGAGGGGAAGGGGCTGGCAGGGGAACAGAAGGGGGGGCTGTGGGAGGCTGAGCAGCGGCTGGAGAGCAGCAGCCATGCCACTGCCATCCCTTGTTGTGCAGGGCAATGGTTGTAGTTGGTGATGAGATGTAGCTTGTGCAGAGGAGTGTGCCATGGGACCAAGTGTGCACTTGAACCTGTGGGATGGAGAAGGGAATAAGATGCAAATGCTATGGAGAAAACCAGCCATCTGGCTCAGGCTGAGTTTGTTTTGAGCCCCACTGAAGATTTCTTGCCCGGTAAATGCCCATTGTGCTTGGCTCCCTTTGAGCTCATGTACAGCCCCACAAAGCTGGAGGGGAAGGCAGTTCAAAGGCCGCACATTTTAGATTATTATTTTAAGTGCTATTCAAACGTTAAGTGAAAAGCAGAAGCACCAGCTGGATTCCAGTTATTCACTGTTCCTATCTGCCCATAGGCACAGGGTAGCAACTGCCATTGGTTTGTGCAGGAGAAGAAAAAGAAGAAAAAGATCAGGAACAAAAAGTTAGCCAGCCCCTAAGATGGTTTGTGGATACCCTTTTGGGAACTGCAGGGGAGAGAGCCTGTGTTGCTCCACTCTCAGGATGAATGGATAAAGTAATGCGTTACTGAAACATGGTGCTGGTGTTAAGCTGAAAGCATACCAAAACAGGCTTCAGCAGTCAGTAATTACAGATAGAAACACAACTCTTGATTTCTACATCTGCTGAAAAAAAAAAAACCCACCAAAAACACCATACCCTTCACACTGGTTTTGTTCACTGTCGTGGTTTTGTTTTCATTTCCTTCTGAATTTCTAAGCTCTCCTCCCCACATGGCAGAGGCCACATGTCCTGCTCTGCTGCCCAAGCAAAGCCTAGTGTTGGCCTCTCTGAGTAGCCCCAGTAGAACAAACCCAGGAGAGCTTTCTCCTGGCTGAAAGAGTTGGCAACTGCATTTCCTGCCGTGATGCTAGTGTGCCCTATACCTGAGCCATAAATAAGGCAATGCATGGTATTTAATCATCAGAAAAGAAAGAAGAAAGTGGAGAATTAAGATCTCATGTTGACCTAAGTCTCAGACTTTGATAAACTTGTCAGGAATATCACCCTGTGATGACTTTATCTTGATGAAACCTGTGTCTGGGGAGGAGGCACTCGCAAGGCCTTGTGCCGAGGAGCCCTCTGGTTGTGAAATAAAGCTTATGGGCACACTGGGATTTCTGCATTACAATAATAATGACTGTAACAATACTCAATTTGTGAGAAGTATTTGCTATCAATAGCTGCAAAAAAAGGGCAGGAGAGCTATAAAGGAGGTCCACCTCACAAGCTCTATTGGGAGCGGTGGTGTCCCAGTCCCATCAATTGGATGGGCTCCTGTCTGATCATGTCCTGACATCACAGCCCACCCTCACAGTGGGTGAAGCCACCTACCCCAGTGAAGAAGTTTACCAGCAGCCTTACGTTACTGATGCTTTTAGCACTCTGTACTTGGCTTTCAACTAAGGTCATTTGAAAACGGTCTTCAACACCCATCTCATTTGCTTTTTTATGCTTGCCAATTTAGTGTTGTATTCACAGTGATTAATTAGTTTGTGGAGAAGGTTTATTAGGTAATCTTCCTGTCAATCAAAAATGACTGAGGTTTCAGAGACGAGAACAGAACGCACAGAGATCTTATAATGATAGAGAACCGATGTTGCCATTCTGTACAAAAAGTTGGAGCTTAGCCTTGACATGCAACCAGGTATAAAATACTTTAAAGTGTGTTTACTTCTATTCATATTCAACCACAGAACCAGTCTGATTCTCTAAGACTTCATTTATATTTCTAACAAGAACACATAAATCCCCTTATCTGCTGTGCCTACAGCCTGCATTTGAAGACTGACAAACCTGCGGGGTTGTTTTAACAGACCAGGCTTCGGGCTGTGCTTGCTTCAACAAAGAAAATCCCATAGATCATCAGCCTGCCTTCTTTATGCATGTTTTACCAATCGTTTATATGGCTTCCAGCACTCCATGGGTTTACTGGAAAAAAAAAAAAAAAAAAAAAAAAAGCTTAAAATTGCAAGGTTCTTCTTTTCCTTTTAGACAGGAAATGTAACTAACCTACATGAACTCGGTGTTTTCCAGAAGATCTTGAACCTTACTGTGAAAAATATAGTGAAGTTAAGTGGCTTTCTTGACCAGAAATGGTATTATATTGAAGAGGCTACAGAGAGGACTCGAAGATATTAGCTGATTAAATTATACACTACGTAAATGTATGTCGCATTATGATTTTTGCAGTATTAGGTTAAAATGTGAAAGGATATAGATTAATACTAAGAATCTGACTAGCTTACCACTTTTCAGAGTCATTACTGTTCTAAATTACACTGGTGTCTGTCTGTGAATGTAAAAAGATATATAACACCCTGAGAATTAGTAGAAAGTTAACCAGACTCTTTCCTTCATCACCTCCTTGAGAGAGCTGCAGGTTATTTCTATCACTCAGAGGTGATGAACAGGCAGCAGCAAATCAAATGGTAAATTCAGACGAAATTATACAGATAGACATTTTCTTTTTTTTTTTTTTTTTTCTTCCCTAGCTAAATTTAGGAGTTCATTTCGTGGGCTTTGGGATTATAGATCTGAGGCTGAAACAGGAAAAGATAAAGGGCACACAGGGCTGCAAATTGGATAACTATGACATAAGGACAGATAATTTAAAACTATAATCTGCTGAATGTACAGTCAGAGTATTCAAAAGCAGCTTTTTCAAATAAAAAAGGAAAAACAGAAGATGAAAGGAATAGGTAAGAGTGTGGTTGTGTTAAAATATTTACAGCACGTGTTCTACAGCTTTGACACGTGCACCCTCCCTGCACCCGCTCCTGCACAGCCCAGCGCAGACTGACGGCAGCTGATGAACATGAACGCGGGCAGACAGGTTTCATCTGAGCGTTCCCTCACAGACTGAGCTCTCCATGCAGATGAAATAATTCAGGAGTGCACTATTTCAGTGTTACAAACACAACGGCTATATGAAAATATGTTGAAAATCAGTCTGGAAGCCAGAACAACATAATTTCCATGTGCGTTTATTAATCTGCTTTTTTTTTTTTTTTTTTTGCTTTCATAATTTGTTTTAGTTTGTATTTTATTGACTCCAATTTTGAAAAAATCTAGCTTGACAAGAAGTGGTAAGGCTCCACTCAGAGGTTTCTTTTCATGCTCGAGACATGAAATTGGAGTAACTACCAATTTGCACGCATAATTCCAGCATACAGAATGGAAAACAAAGGAAGAGACAAAAATTAAATCTGGTTTCTTGCTGATCTCATTGCAGAAGACCACAAGGAAAAAAAAAAAAGCTGCACATTAGCTGTTTTCTTAAGATTTCCTCGGAAAGCTGTATCAACAGCATTTTGTCCATGGGTATGCAGGCGATGCGGGTACGCTTCGCATGCCTGTGGTAGATGGATGATACTGATGGCAATCTAACTGGAACATCCTGCCTGAATATGAACAACAGATTTGTCAGTGTGTGACAGGCTGACAGCCCAGCTCCCAGCTGCTTGTCCACTGTTGTTAAATCAGTACCTTGTCTAAGTGTTCAGCAAAGAGGCAATCTGCTTCCTCCATTCGTACAGGCAGGTTGCCAGTTAAAAAACAAGTATTGGCTTTAGGCTGCGGTGCCATAATGCATTGAAAAGATGCAATCTAAACCTTTGTGTGCTCCTTAGGCAACAAACAGCAGGACTTGGGAGCACAGGCTTAGGCTGGAGACTCTCCTTTTCAAAACAACAGAGATAACTCAGAACAGGAATCAGGAAAGAAATGGAGGAGGATTTGAAAGCTGGGGATGACTTAATAGAACTATTTCAAAAGGAAAATATTGGTTTATTTTGGTGTCTGGGAAACAAGTTTGTGCTGCTGTACTGAAGCTTGTGTCAGAATTTCCCTTACAGCCCTGTCTTTAAGCAGTTTGTAATTCATCAGCAGCAACAACTTGCTGTAGGCTGAAATTTTACATGCAAAGACACTACTCAGGAGCACTTCAGGGAAAAAAAAAAAAGGGTAAAACAGGAAAGGAAAAAAAAAACCCACAGTAATTCGTACAGAAATACTACATTAGGGGACACAAAGAGCTTACTGGTTTTGGGAGCCTTTTCCACTTTCCTCCACCCGATTAATTTGTTTGCTATTGTATGACCACATCAAAGCTGTTTTAGACCTGAGAACCATCAAAATTGAGTTAAGGAAACAACAAATCCAAGCATGAACACCAACCTTTCAGCTCCTGAGTGTGGTGTTGCACTTGCAGGGCAGCCTGCAAGGCGACGCTCAGCTACATGAGGTCTGCAACAGATTTACAGTGTCTGGCAATGTCTCCTTTGTAGCAGCCATAGTTTGTCAGGCCAGTCATGAGATCTATTCAGGAGTCCTTGAATACAGATCTATAGATCTCAATAGGCCTCTGTAAGATCCAGGGGAGCCACTGCACTCTGTTGGGTCAATCCTCATCACGGTTTCTCTTGTCTTCCATGCAGGTGGTTGGGGTGTCACCTGGGGTGTCGCTCTTGATCCAAGGTCATTGTGCAGCCACACAGGTCCTCATGTTTTGCTTCAGTCTCCAGTCCTCCCTAAGGAAAAGAATTAGGTGGCAGGTGCAGCTGGCTGTGCTTTCCCTCCACCACTACCACTCCAGTGCTGCCTACTTTGGGCCAATTAACAGTGCCCAAATGGGTCACAAATACACAGCCACAGCTAAATTCTATTCTTAGTATGAAAACCACATCTAATGAACGCTGCAGAGAACTTTAGGTCACATGCTTACAAGTGATATAACAGGCAGACTTTATGAATAAAAGGAGGGAAAAAAAAAAAAGCTAAAAAGTTAAAAAACCTATTACTAGGGTATTCGGTGATTCTGCTGCAATTACCAAGAATCCCATCAGTCTGTGTCACAGTGTTTCTCCTTTCAACAGATGCACGAGATCCAGCAGAGGTATGCAGCCTGCAAGGCTGAGAGAAGGAGCATGGTCACTGTGTTTTCTGCAGCCAGAGTCACTGCCACTGTTTGCCACAATCTATTGGGGAAAGGAGGCAAAATGTTTATGAGAGCAGTGCCCACTCTGCAGCTCACATCATTGTTGTTAGGATGCACTACAAATTCAAACAAAATTCTGTCACCATTAGCTTCATTATAAATAATAATATATTTAGAAATATATCACATTCTATACCAGGAACTATCTTCTGTTCCAGTGTTTCACTATGGCTGTACTTTTTAAGGAAGCCAACTATTTTAAACATTCACATACTTAGATGCAACTCATGGTATCACTGTATTACAGAAAAAAATCATTAAAGCAAAACTAAAAAGCTCAGTCCCTTCATACAGTTCATGTTAGGAAATGTATGAAATAACAGATGTGTTTGTCTTGCCAGTCTTTCTGATGATTATCTTTAATTAAATCTGTGATTGAATCCTCTTTTTGCTCTTTGGTCTATCTTGGTAACCTGGCTAGGGAAAATGAGCAACTGAGTTGTACTTTAATTTACAGCTCCTTCCATGTTTGGTTTTTAAGGATAGAGTTAAGGATCCTTGAGCAGCCCTACTTGCACAAGGTTTTAAGATAGCTGTGTAAAACTGGTAATTAACATGGAGGTATTATGCTATTTCTTTACCATGACACTGATACTAATGACACAGTCAATGAGATGCAATTTTTCTGGCCAAAAAACCAACAATGACAAAATATTTTAAGTCAACATGAAGCTGATATGACGGTTACTCAAGGCAGTGGAAAATCTCTCTCAAATTGAATGGGCTGTGAGGGGTATTTTTGGGTGTCATAGTTAAATATACAAAAAAAAAAAAAAAAAGCTTGCATTAGTCTATATATATATATACACACACACATACATGCATACGTAGTACTAATGTCAATGGCTTAAAATGTGGGGAAAGGGAGAGGAAGAGAACAGTCAGATCTGTACCTGCAGCAGCCCTGTGGCTCTGGCCCCGCAGTGGTCTCTTTACCACGCACACAACCAGGAATACTAATGCACACCCAGGGACAGCGTCCTCCCCTGCACTCCCTTAGAAATTCAGAGGGAAGAGGGTTTTGTATGTGATAACTATTTCTGCCCTCACATTCCACATTTCAAGATGATTTTCAGTCAGCGAGATATTATGAATCCTATTTAACTATGCTTAAGATCTCTCATTTAGAGTTAAGTGGAAGAAGAAAAGACAAAATTGTCTTTGCAGATGTTAAAAAGAAATTCATTGCAAGCAATCACCATTTAATATCCAGTGCTGACTTTTTGAACAAGTGCTTTCTCTAAATAATAAATCAAATGGGTTGGCACTAACAATAATACCTCAGAATATGAATGAGGAAAACAAGAATATTAAAACAATAGAAACATTAACATACAACAATCTGCTGCTTACGGGAAGGAATGGCAGAGGACAGAGTGAAAAATAGCGATTGCTTTTATTCTGTTTTGCTGTGATCTGTCATCTATGGGAAGAGGAGCTCCAGCCCCCAGGGCGCACAGCAACGGGGATGGAAATCCTCACACCAGTCTACAAAGCCCAGGAGAGCGGTTCAGTGTTTGCCACCAATTTGTGCCAATCAGTACACAGGGCTTGGGATATGAATGTACTGTAACAAGATTGTTTTTCCTTTGGTTTGTCCTGTATCTTAGGGTTTCACCAAAAGAAATGCCTCCTGTTTTATGATGCCAGCCCACAACATCAGAGACAGATGTTGGTGGTATGGCAGTAGGTTGAACCTTTCACCAACATCTTATTACATTTTGTTGCCATGTGACAGATGGCAGCAGAGGGGCACTCTGACAGAATGGTGCCTGACAAAGAAATTTGTATGAAGCAAAGGCATGTCATTGAACTCCTCCACGTGGAAAAAATGGCACCCATTGACATTCATTGATACTTGCTGAACATCTGTGGAGACTCAACAGCAGACATCAGCACAGTGAAGAGGTTGGTGGTGTGTCTCAGCAGCAGTGACAGGGGGTAACCTCTGCTTATTCAGAGGTTTATGAGCATGGCATGCAGGCCCTTGTTCATTGCTGGCAAAGATGAGCAGCTGATGGTGCTGACTATATTGAAATATAGTGCTTTGTAGCTAAGAATTTGTTCTATCAAATAATGTTACTGTGCTCTTTGTATCTATTGCAGTTTCCGTGGAAATGAAGAGGATGCATTATATCCAGGGCAACCTATGTAGATATTATGTCCTGGACTAGCCACATGGCCCGTGGAAATGGCTTTGCCTTAACTCTGCCATATTCACTAACCCCATAAATAAAATACCTCTGGACATGGTGAATGGATTTGCAAACTGAAGACACAAGCTAGAAACAAAATGAGCAGCAACTTCTAGATCAGTAATTGAATTGGTTGAGCTTTCTGCTAGGATCAATGTGTCCAATTACTTCAGACTACCATGCTCCTGTCTCTGTTCACTTCCACAATGGCACCTGCCATTTCAAAGCAACTGGATGCCAGCAAACATAAAGAAAAGTATCGAGAGTAGAATGATAACCAGGACTGACCTAAAACTATTCTCTGCTCTTGTTTTTGGGCCAAATTAATGTTAATTAGTTAACATTATATCAACTTAATTAATGTTAATTAATTAATTAAAGGTAACTTGAAACTGTCACAGAAAACAGGACACAAAGGGATATGCAGACAACTAAAGCTGAGGAACAATCTCTGGAAGAACTGAGTCACAGAGACTAAGCTTCCTGACAGCCCTGTCCCTTTTCTGAGGCTGGAATTGGTGGGGAAGCTGCCTGCTGCCTTCTTGGTTATTCACATGAGGACAGCGTAGTTTCAGTTCCTGTTGCTGAGGTCTGCTTAAGTGACCTTATGCCAGTTCCCAGTTCTCAGTGTAAAAGTATTTTCTGTTAACCAACAAGTGATTTTAAGGACCCTTGAGATAACTGCACTTCATCCTAATTATATCTGAAGTACATCCACATCCCTGCTATGATTTCAGCCTTATTAGACCTTGCTGCAGCTTCCCTCTTTGCTCTCCTGGGCTACTCCTACTCACTATCCTTGATGATGGGTATATCTAGAACAGTAAATGAGGGCTTTTAAGTCAGCTGCAACATAGCACATGTGCACTGTCAGAGACCAAGGGGAGATGCTCTGGTAGCTCCTGCACACATACAGGCTGACATTCCAGGACCTATGGTCAAATAGGAGTGCATTTTGGAAGCAATCCTACCCAATAGCTGCATGTTATGGAAAGTTCCCTGCCAGTAAAATAATCAGGATGATCATAATAGTTAAAGGACTTCTTCATAAGTTCTTTCATGGCATAACTACTATCTTTTTAAAGGTTATCAACAAGTATCCAGATTTCAGCAGCCACTTTGGGTGTTACTTTAAAATCAGGCTAGAGTAGCACATTGCTAACTCAACACTGTTTACATGAAGCAGCAAGAAATCTTCAGTCTGAAGGGGAGAGGAAAAGCAAAGCAATGATTCACTGAAGCTGAAATAATCTCTGTTACATACTAGTCTTTTTCCAAGTGTCCATGTATCAACATACTGATAAACCAAAATTAAAAACCCTTCCAAATGTTATTCAAATTAAAGTGCTGCTTTCTTGGCATGCAGACACACATTTCATCAGAAAATACTGCAAGTTCATTACTGGAAAATCTCCCAAATAATTTCAAGGCAACACCTGGGATAACAGTTTTATTGCTGAGTCACACTGAGAAGTCTGCTGAGGAGGGACACTATATCACAATCCTCATAAGGGATTTGACAGGTAAGTTATCAAAAATCAAAATGTTGTTAATGCTCCAAGATAAAACAGAGCATACAAAACTGTGGCAGATACACTTACTGTGTGTGAATGTCTTCATCCAGTAATTTCTCTAGCAGATACGTCCCCCAGGATATGTATGATTCTTGTGGCCATTCTGCAAATTTTCTGTTACTTTACCCTTCAGCACATGAAAAATCTCTTCTGGAAAAAAAAGTTAATCAACGTTAAACTGATAACAAAGCTCAGTTAGGAGCAGAGAACTATGGAAGAGACAATACCATGGAAAGCGCATTTCAGACTCACTCCCGATAGACCTTTAGAAACACAAAAGAACGTAATTCAGGTCAGGTCAATTGATTTCTTCTGAAACCCTGAACCAGGACTCCTCCACCCCAAGCCCTGCCTTCAGTCACCATGCAGTGCACTGGTCACCATTCTCAGGGAACTGATGCTGACAGTCTGTTCTCAGAAGGCCCAGGCAGGAGAGACCCTGTTACGATCCCCCAGTTTGCCTTTTCTACCTATTCCCTCTCTGTCTGCCACCAGTAAGTCCAACTAGCTATGAAGTTGCATTGTGAAATCTTCCACTGATCTTGCCTATAGCTATATGTATTCAGGACTTCAAAGGAAAAAAAAAAAAGGTAAAACTAGGGTACAGTGTAGGATTGAGGAAGAGAACGATACCAGTCTTTTAGGTTATATTTTCCTGCAATAACATCAAGCTTATTGTAGCCATAACTTGAACTGTAATAACTGACCCAAAACTGCAAATTCTTTAAAAGAAGACATGGTGGATAAATGCAGGCAGATACAGTACAATCACCAGAGAGCAGATCCAGTCAAGGCTGGCTGCTGGTACCTACTCATGGTTTTGATGCAATTGAATAAAAGCAGCTGAAGAAAGTCAGGCAAGACTTCACTGCATGTGAATGTTTACTAAGAGCCTAATTTTACTCCTTGGTGAGAGAATTTTGATTAGTCATCTTAACTCTCCATTCCAGAACATAGTGTCCAACACAAAGTCTGCCCAAGCACAGTATAGCACCACCTTGAATGTATGCAGTGGATGTATTAAATGTATTTTCCCATGGAAGCTTTCAAGAAGCTTGACAGCTCATGTAGGTGGCCATCTCTGTCACTGTGCTTGCCCAGTGCCTTGGATGCAGACCTGGATGTGTCATGAATCCTCCATGCTCAACTTCCCCTTGAGACGGAGGTGTCTTGTCCCCTCTTGGGAAGGGTGATGAGGGGGCTGAGCATGCTTACCTCTCTACCATCCCTGCTCTTTTTAATGCAACAGCCAACTCTCTCTTAAGGTCTTGGGAAGATAATTTGGATGCCAAGGATTGTGAAGGAGATGGCTTTATGCACAAAGCAGGCTTTTTCTTTTTTTTTTTTCTTCATCTCTGTACAGGAATCATCTGCCTTCTGCTGCTATACACTTGTGTTGTCATACAGGTCTCTTCCAGTGCCTTCCACTAAAGGAAATGGAGCTTCCAGAATTTCACAGAATGCTTCTGGCATGAAAGCTGCTGCCAGAATTGCAGTTACCTGGGATGGTATCATCATTTGCTTCTCAGCTAATGCAATATTTGCCTTAAAACATTCTTGAAAGGTGGTAAGAACAGTTGCAATTATAATATGTAAGTAATACTATCTGCTGTTATTGTTGGACTACATTTCCAACTAGCAGAGGTTCTTCTATTTGCTACGAATGTGTATCTTTTAAAGGCCATATCTGTGTGATATTTTTTTCAGCAATATTGATGGGTTGATGTCTATTTACAAATGAGTGCTTCAGAAAAGACTTAGCTGAATAGTCCTAAATGATTATATTTAAAATATAGAAACTATTGAATTATATTTGCTTCATATTCTTTTATGGAAAGCCTGCTTATTTAAATACCCTGCACACACTGAATTTCCTGGTTATGAAAAAAAGTGAAGAAAAATACTATTTGCTTTTAGGTAATCGGATTCTGTGGGATCTAATCCTATATCCTATTTATGGCTGTGCTAGCTATTCAAAATTAAAATGAACCTTTCATCCGTGTGTATCATAAATGGGCATTTATCAGGATTATATGATTTTGCAATCCATCTGAATATGTAACCAGAATTTGTTTTCTTTCCGTTTCACTATGTAATTACCATGCAACAATAACAAAAGTGACATGTTTGAAGAACAGATAAAATGCTGTAAATTGGCCAGTAATGGTGATATTTCCTCATCTTCTGAAAAACCCATTTATTCTCTCTCTCAACAAATCAAGGCATTGTCAGCCCATACTCATCTTGTGGCCAGAGGGGCCCTACCAATTTCTAGATGTAAGCGAATACTGGAATGCAGATGAGGGCTACTAACTAAGGCTTTCAACCCAGGCAGCTGGTCTTAGCTTGCTTCAATTTCTAAATCATCCATAATGGGGCCAAGACCTCCGAAGCACTAAAAAGAGCAAGCTGACATGCTGGACAAACTGTTAATTTTTTCCTGAAGAAGCTGCTATATTGCACATCTGTCACTGCTGTGCAGACAATTACTCACCGAGTGGAAAAAAATCTGCTGCTTGTTTCTAGTGTAGTTGTTAACGGGCGTGATGGAAGAACACAAGAGCGTGAGAGAGGCTGCAGGAAGGCAACTCCATGCTACTCCTTGGCTTGTGAAGTTCTATTTTGTAATCAAAACATCAATGCTCTCCATAGCGTCCAGAATGCATCAACTGCTACAATTAAAACCGTGCATCAGGCCATCTGACATTCTATAGCTGATTAGTGATGTAAGTTGCATATATTACTGTCCTTAAAATCCTTTTTGAAGTGCTGCATTGCTTCGCAGCAGACATGGGTAAGGTTTTCAAACAGTATAATTGCAAACAAGAAAAAAAACCCACAAAACTCCAACAAATCAAAAACTCCAACAAAAAAAAAATACAAAAGCAAAACCGAAAGGAGTAAGTCTGATTGAAGTGTTACATTTCATGACCTTTCTTAAAAACCTATTAATATAAAAAAATGCTTAGTTGTAATTACAAATTTAACCTGATAGCTGCTGCAGCAATCATTAGTTATTGCTCTGACCTGAGCAGGGCAGGCAAAACATGTCAGGGCACGTAAAAAGCAACCAGGTAGAGCCTCATAGCAGGTATCAAAGATGGCAAAAGAATCCATAAAAATCCCAATCTGTGACCATGATCAGCATACCGGTCATTACACCGTTAGAGTAAATCTGTATGAAATATCTATAGAGAACAGGTTTCAATATTTTAATTATTAAGTCAGAGTAACAACAGCAAATCCACAACCCACCCTTCTCGAGGGCAGAAAGATTTGAGCACAGCCCTCTGCTGGCCTGCAGACCTTCCTCCCTCCTTTACAGCTTACAGCGCAGTTGTGCCCAATGAAGAGTTGCTCCATGTTCCAGGCCTGCTCTGCCAACCCCAAACTTTCAGAAGTCTTCAGTCAGATCCCTTCTTCCACAAATTAATGAATTCAACTTAAAATTATTAAGTGGAAAAAAAATATTACCTCCATGGTTCTTCTTCTTTCCCTGTGGCAATGAACATAATATACAAATAATTTGCGTTTTCCAGGCAGAATGTTGCAAGATAGTGCACAAATGGAAGTAGTGACTTTCAGCAGAACAAGCATTAATTACTGTAGAAGACTCTCAGAAGAACATCCGGGCCATGATCAGAAAGCTTCATATAAACTGTAAACCCACAAAAATAAATCAATTTTTAAGGAAGAGGTGCTGATCTCAGCTTGTGGATCATTATGTCAGCAGCCATCAGTCCTGGAGTAAAGGCATGAGGTGGGGGCATGTGGTCTACTGGCAGTGTGGCCACAAGGAACACCTCACCTGCAGGAAAAGTGAAGTAACACTGAAGGACACTTCTGCAACAGAGCAAGTGGCATCTGCAAATTGGAGGATGATTTATGCTGTCTGACAACTAAAAGATAGAAGACAACTCTAATGTGTAGATAAAACCCAAAGTGGTAATAGTAGATCACACCCTTGGCAGCTAATGGCATCGTCTTGCTGTAGAGAAATCTGGGCCTACTTAAAATGTCAGGGGTACAAAGTGATGCGCCTGATGCGCCTGTGCTGAGTGGTATGCCAGCAGCTAGTCTGCGTGATTTACTTGTCAGTTGATTATATATTACATAATCCTGCTAAATAAAATAGTATTTATTACTGGTTGACTCAAAAAAAAAAAAAAAAAAAAAAAAAAAAAAAAAAAAAAAAGATAATAACACTTTCAGGATAAATTTTGATATATAAAATTTTTTGTGATATTAAATTGACATCTGAATAGGCAATAAATATTATTAAATTGGGTTAAAAATCGAAAGACTAATAGCATACTTCATTTGCCAAAGTTAACAGTGATGAGAAATGGGTCCACATTCACTTACATAACCAGACTGCCAGCATTCCTCCTTTCTGATTTAGCATGTATATGACAAAAATGCATTTTACTTCAGTATAATGACAGTGTCACGTTGCTGTTAGCATCTTTATCATAATGGTTCCAAGAAATCCCAGCTTACCTGGGCTGCATTTGTAAGACCTGCACTGACCGAAGAGCAGCTGACTTGGAGCAGACAGGAAATTTTGGCTAGGATCTCACATGATTTTCTTCTTCCAACTACATTCAAACCCTCACTCTTTTCCTTCCCTCCATCAGTATTTACTGTAAGAAACAGCTGCTGGATTCTGGGCTCCCAGTGAACAAAAGGACAGCTCTTATTCCTTGTGCTGAAAATCTGCCTTTTTTTCCAGGGAAATCTCTTCCAAATATTTCTCTGTAAAAGCATTATTTGGAAACAATTGGGATCACAAAAGTAGTATATGAAGTGTCACAGAATTTTTCTATGGCTTGAAAAATAATTATCAGCTTATTTGCATTGTTAAACATTAATTAGCTGTGAATGGCAATTTTTTTTTCTTTTTTTAACACTGCAATACTTCAAATTCTCATTACAAAATAATTTCAGCTCTATTAATTAGATCCAACAGTAACTCATAGTAATGGATGACAACCTTAAGTGAGCTATTAAATGTACTTTACCACTGATTAGGAAGAAGACAACAAAAAAAACCTGGCTACGTTTACATAAAGGTGGAATATTAAACAATACATTGCAGATTTATTGACTTGTGTAGAAACACCTCACCTCTTCTATGTACTGCAGGTTACCAGAACCAAACGTCTTGTGACACTTTGGTGAAGTACACGGCTGATAGCTTAACAAAATGTCCAATATTTAAATTTTCCTTTCCTAATTCTATGTATTATTCTCTACAGGGATCTACATCTATAAAATGTATGGGTGTTTATTTGTTAGATAAACAGGCAAATGGCTTCACCTGCTCTACCACACAGTAAAACAATGCTTTTTAAAATTACTATTATTTTTAATTAATTTTGTACTTTTTGACTCGCCAGGTCCAAAGAAAGCACAGGAATGTGGTTCTGGCCAAAATTCTTCATGCAGCCACTATTCGAGACTGTGGCAAAATTCCAAGCTTCCCTCGCCATGGCCATTGTAACCCTTTTTTTATGGTCCCATACAATCAGTCATGTAGTAGTTCACTAGAAACAATTCCTATCTCAAACCTTTGCCTAAAAATGTGCATCTATAATGAACTGATCCTGCCAAATATATGAACCTTAAACATCATCCAGATGCTCTTTCTCCACCTCCTGGCAGCCTGTGCCAGGAAGAAAAAAATCCATGTTACTGGCTAGCAAACACTATGAGCAGCATACTGTGACTTCCTACCCATGTTGGAAGCCCAAGCCTTCACTTAAGCAAGACATTATTAGTAATACTATTATTGGTAATATTATTGGTCTCAGCCACTGGTGCTCCACATGCTCACCTTTGCACCTGAAGCAATTATTCCATAAGAGTCAATGTGTCTCTGGGCTGCTGGGTGAGCCTTCAGAGCCTTCACACTGTGGAGCAGCAACTAGGGCGATCAGGAAGAACCAGAAACCAAGCTTTTCATGGTAAAGACCACTCACATTCCTCACGTACAGTAGCAAGTAACATAATTACCACTGGGTCTAAATGAAGATGCCCTAAACACTGTCCTTCACATGTCATTTCAACAATTTCTAAAGAAATCATGGAGCACCTGTCTTACTGGCTATCAGCAAGAGTCCTCGCCAGCTGAAAATGTGGAAACTGCTGCCATGGCAGCTTTCATCACTGAACTACACCAGAACTAAGGAATTCTTTAATCCAGGTTAACATACTATTATTGCTGCCCATGGTCAAGAGAATTGTACATTTAGCATCAGCTGTGTGTACATACACTTTATGTTGTAGAATACATCTATTACTACGAGAAATATGAAGCCCACCACCATATACACCAAAAGTTTGGCATTTAGAAAATTTTAGATAAATGTTCTACTTATTTTATTCTACAAATTGTACAACATTCAAATGCTTGGAGTAAGCTAGAACATTTGGAAAAACTATAAGGCAACACTTATGGGATCCAAATTTAATACTTAACTCTTGAAATCAAAACTACAGAGAAGAAATTTTGCAACTGGGTACCTGCAAATGCAACAGAAGAAATTCCTGCCTCTTTCACCACAATACTCTCTAAGAAAACAGCCAAGTTTTTGCGAAAGAGAAACAAATGGGAGGATGGTGAATCTTAAGTGAAATCAAGGATTCAAATGGAGAAACATTTTATGGAAGAAAAAATTGAAGACCATTAATCCTAATTCTTCAAAGAACCTTTTTCCATCACTGCAATCTAGGTTATATGAAAATATATTGAAATTGTGTTACATGAAATTTCCAAGGAAGTAAAATGAAAAAAAAAAAATCACAGTTCAATAACAAAACTCATTGACACAGACAACAAGGGAGCAATAAGAGACGCCTGGGAAGAAGATGGAGTCTTACAGTGGACAAGGGCAGAATAAGCTAGGCTGACTCAGTGAGAAAGACTGAAGAATTAATGGTGGTAAGTTCATGAGAACTTACCTCAATTACTAAATGAGCAGGTACATCTTGTGGAACTGAGTTTCCTGTATCATGTGTTTTTTTAATCACTAATAATAATACTCTTAAGTGGAAACTAATGTACATTGAAATGATATATTTCTTGCCGGCTTCCTTTTTTTTGTTCACTGGAGAAAATATTTGGGACATGCTCCTTCTGCATAGTTCTAATGCATGTTCTCCCTTGCTTATTTTCATTGAAATTTGAGCAATTTCAAATTGCTAAAACTTATACCTTTCTGCTATTTCCTTATTGAATCAAAAACTTTTTTTTTCTTCCCTTATTCTTGTTACTTGGCTGGAATGAAAGACTACATAGCACATACAGAATCAGTTAGCTACTGTACCCAATACTAGGTACAGCAGCCAAACAGGTGCTCTGAAGAAACTCTATGCTAAAGATAGTCCAGTATGATCCAGCTGACTCTAGGATTTTATGGGAACTCTGTTGCCATGGAAAATTGAGGATCCATATCTATAACAGGGAAGGAAGTTAAGACCTCAGTCTGCTAACACTTTTATGCACACTTATTTTTATACCTATGAGGAGCTTCACATCTAGAAGTCAACGGAGATACTCAAGTTCAGAAAAAGTTACGTGTCTTCCAGTCTTCATCAGTTTGTGGCTGGGGAAACAGTGGTCTGGTGGGGCTGAAGAAAATTCAAGTTTGAAGTGTCAAAGTGTCAAAAAATAACTCACGAGAGCAGGAGTAGGCCAGTCATAAAATTGGCCAGGTATGAAAAGCAACTTCACTAGTCTGGTACAAATGACAGAAAATCTGGAGCCCTGCCACTTAATATACTCATGAGATAATATTTTGAGACAGAAAACATGGGGAATTATCACTTAACACATATATAGTTATACTTTTTCAGAAAAAAGGAAAGGAAGAACAACACTGAAGACTTAAGGCACACTAAGCTGAAGATACCTATAATCAAATATTCTGAATGATAATCTAATTTTCATTTTCAGCTTTTTACTTAAAGACTGACTATTCAAAACAAGCAATCTATTGGCCAAAATACCTCCAGTATCTGCTTTGTTGAAGGACACCCAAGACCCACAGGAAGCCTATGCATTTCCACTAGAATTATCTTACTGGCAGTTAATCATGAAATTTTCATTGCTTTAGTTAAGTTTTCCACAACAACTCAAAGCAGACATATTAAAAAGTTTGTTGATAGTCTTACCAAACTCTGTATCTATGCTATAGCATAAACAACCTATGCTGGTAAAGCTCACAGTTTCTATAGCAAAAAACCACCCACCACTTAAGAATATCGATACTGAAATTGCTGTACATTCTCCAAGACTTCTTCCAGAACAGAAATATCATTAAGCAAACAAACATACACACACACACACACACAACCATAAGTACTATGCCTGTAAATAAACAGACAAATGTAGCTGCATCAAAACCTTTCCAGGAAGAATTCAAACCAAAAACAAGGTGTTCTTTTAACTTGCTAGATTAGCTTTAGAGCTGAACAAATGGACAGTGAAATAATTCTGGTTTTCTCTACGTTGCACACTGCAGGCTGAACATACTGCCTTTAGGTATGGGACTCTGTTGTGGGCACCTTGGCAGATGCTGTGTACTAGCTATGCCCCTGCTCCCAAAAACTTTGCTATCAATTAAAGCATAATTAAAAAGTCTCCTCACTGCACAGCGTAAGAGAGGGAAGAGATCCCCATTTTTGATATGCCTTTACTGCCCAGCACAGGGAGCAGAAAGATGAAAAAAATGGCATGATTTCTTCTTGGAGCAACAGTTTTGAAGTCCTGCTTGAAGAGAAAGCACAATCATGTCACAGCTATCAAAGCATACGCATACTTAAAGAATGAAGAGGACTTGTATTTAAACATCCCAGAAAAATATGATAACAAAAGTAATGCAGATATTTTATATGTGGCATTTTGTGATGTGGTTCACGTTTTCTGGTTAATAACTACCTAGAAAAGTACTGGTAAGGAGGTACAATACTTTTACTAACAGTGTTAGCACAATATACATGTGCTTGCTACAAGATATTAGCAATCCTAATCACATTTTCAGAAACAATGCTTTTGCACTCACCTGAGCAGTAACACCGTCATTG